AATTGGCATCATTTTCATAGAAATTATCTTAAAATTGATGATCTACCCCCTTTCAACAACAATGCCTATAGATAACACTGTAAAACTTCTTTTCAGATACGCCCAGGCTCTATGTAATATCAAAAAATATAATATATCAACTTCACAAAAAATAAAAATTACTTAAAAAATACTCCCAAATGTACTATTTGTTTCTGACAGTTCGCCGATAAGGGGATAGCTATTATGTAACTAAAAATGGATGATATTCATTCACCCGTTTAGTTGAAATTGTCTGCAAGAAATTAAAGGTCAACATAAAATTGCAGTCAGAATCTTTAACTAAACTACGCTTTGCATTTTTTCAATAACTAGTTAGAACTTCCGCCCTGCCTGGAGAACTTTTCTGCTTTTATAATGAAACTCATTATCATAATGGCATTATGTGAAAAATTTATTAACAAAAAAATATGTTATCATTAAAGAAAAAATAGGCATTTCAAATCCAAGTCAGCCCCAAAAAAAAATATTTCCCAATTGAACATTGAAATTTGGAACAGGAAAGTGTTAAAACGTTGAATAGGAAATTAAAATGTTTAGACTTTGAAATTGCACAAATATTTTACAAATTATATATAGATAGCGTCTTAATGTCTGCACGTCAATGCTCTCTAAATTTTATAATATGGGGTGTACGATAGACTTACCTCCACGTGGTGCACCCTGGGCAACGTATTCTCATACGGCAAAAAAGTCTATTAACTGGCAGTTGACTTCTCACTTCAAACAACCATCACCTCACTGTATGTCATATTCGACTGTACTCTGTGCCCACTGTACTCACCTCACCTTTTTTTCTACCTTTGTGTCTGTCTCTTTTATATCTTTGAAACACTCTTCTGTGCCCCTCCATTTTTTCGCTTTGATGTTCCTTCCCCTCTGTGAAGCATGGAATCAACTAAAAGGCTAATGATAGCCATCAAGACGCCTGCCATTTGATATAAAAACATTTTATAATAATGTCTTAATATCTACACGTCAATGCTTTCTACATTTTATAATATTACCTTCCAGAAATATCAGTAAATAAATGTTATATGTGGTCTAGAAAGGCCCAAATTGCAAAAAAATGTAAGTGATGTGTTTTCCTTACAATTTGCTAATATTATTATTATCAAAAAATTGTATTTTTTAGTTTGTTGTTTGTAGGATGAAACAACAAAAAAAACCTAGAAACCCTTTCGTTAATGTATCATAGCTATTGCCAAAGATATTCTTAAGGCTTTCCAATATTATTTGAAAATTGGTACCAAATTCTGTCTGGATGTACAACTTTTTACTGAGTTAAGAAAAGTTTTCTCTATACACTGAGTTTCAGAAGGGTTAGGGGGAATTTGACCTTCGTTGGAATACAAATCTGATTCGTTATTATAAACAAAAAATTGTTATTAGTATGAGGACGGGGGTGGGAGGGGAGGGTGGTAGGATTAAATATTCAATTATTAGAATTCCAAAATTTTCTTTTAATACTCTATTAACAAGTTGACAACTACATTCTAATGGCTGATAAATAATAGGTAACTTTGAACCCTATATTGATCCACTTTATTGGTTTTATAATGAGTCGCATTATCATAACGTGAGGAGAAAGATGATGATGATGAAGATATTTTATAGCTGACACAACTCTGCCAAGTCAATCGCTGCTATGTCTCCGCATATCACATAAGATCAATTTGCCTTATCAATCGTTGAAATAAAGTAAGCAAAGAGACGAGATCCACCCATCTTAACTAAAAATATATGCTCAACATCATACATCAACATGCAGTACTATCTTTCAATGATATCTCTATAAGTGACGACTGTGCGAGCAGTGCTTAAAGATGCAGTACCGAAAAAAATGCTCAGTCTCAAAAAAAGCTCACAAAGTGCGCTCATTACTTACTGTGCAATTCGTGGGATCTTCGTGTTTAGACTCTTTCTAATGATCAAAAACATTTTAATGTTCTCTTTGTCATGGAGAGTAATTATAAAGTTCATGCAGTTATCATATTCGCCTCTGGCCGAATTAACAGGAGAAAGTGGAAATTTGGCAAAAAAAAACATGAGGATAGAAGAATCCCAACCCCGTCAGGATAAGTAAATACCCCGGAATCCTGACATTTCATGCATCGGACTGGAGAATGGGAATGTGAACGGAGAACGCCGAAAGTTCCTTAATCTGGTTGACCCAAAAGCTGGAAGGTTATTTAAATTAAATTATTTCAACTTTTAGTTAGTCGGAGAGTGGGGGGGGGAGTAACGATGAATGTACGTGAACTAAATTACTTCGGTCTTATTATTTGTCAGCAGAAAATTCTGAAAAGTTATAAGCTTTTCCAATAGCATTTAAACTCCTAATTCAATTAGTCAGGTCAGATCCACAGGCATTAGCAGATAAATACACTCATCTATTTGTTGAGGCCGAGACAGTTTACGACGTGCACAATATGCTCAAATTGCTCCAGTTTCCATCCTCCCCCCCCCCCCCCCCCCCCCCCCCGACAGATGACATTGCGTCGCCTACACATGAACGGACTCAGTGCTATTGGTAGCAAAGCAAGCCATGCAGACTTTCGGTAGTGCGCATAGCAAAAGGAGTTAACAGGCAAACTGCATTTTTGAAGTCTGTATAATGAGGGGGAAGGGGGGAGGGGGGGGTTGTTGATCTTATCCCGTGAGATGTGCCATGAGAATATTTCTCCACACGCTTTCTTAATGCAATTTTGCTTGTCAATATGAGTATTTATATGAGTAATATAGGACACAGATAATTCCCAGTAATTTAACTACGTTCGAGTGGGAACAGGTGAAAATTTCTCCTCTTAGAATAGAAAACGTGACTATGGTATAAATAATAAATCATAGAGCAATGACACGTTTGATATTCACATCAGGGAATAAGAATGTAAATCTACCTGCATGCAGCTACCAAGCAAAGTTGGAACACTGTATGACAAAATTGACATATTGGCACAGCCCTTGGAGAGTAAAATTTGCCTGTTATGAGTAAGTTTTAACTCGAAACCTGATACTTGCAGAGATATCTTCAACTTTATTCCTTTTCTCAGTCTCTCACCAACTCAATTTTGAGGGTAATCAAGTTTCTTAAACCCCGTATTTAATACTTGGGGTGCGCGATAGACTTACCCCCATGTGGTGCACCCTGACCAACGTATACTCATATGGCAAAAAAAGTCTATAAAAAGGCAGTTGACTTCTCACTTCCAACTACCATGACCCGATTGTATGTCATATTCCACCACTTTCACAGTACTCATCTTACCTTTTCTCTGCCTTTGTGTCTGTCTGCCTGTCTCTTTTAAAACTGTAAATCATTTTTCAGTTTCCCTTTCGACCTTTTTTCACTTTGATGTTCGTTCCTCACCGTGAAGCCTGAATTCAACTAAAGGGCTAATGATAACTGTCAAAACGTCTGCCATTTGATATGAATATGATTTAATTCTACTTATATGGGGTGTGCGATAGACTTACCTCCACGTGGTGCATCCTGGGCAACGTATATTCATACGGCAAAAAGGTCTATTGACTGGCAGTTGACTTCTCACTTCCAACTACCATGACCCGATTGTATGTCATATTCCAACACTTTCACAGCACTCATCTTACCTTTTCTCTGCCTTTGTGTCTGTCTGCCTGTCTCTTTTAAAACTGTAAATCATTTTTCAGTTTCCCTTTCGACCTTTTTTCACTTTGATGTTCGTTCCTCACCGTGAAGCCTGAATTCAACTAAAGGGCTAATGATAACTGTCAAAACGTCTGCCATTTGATATGAATATGATTTAATTCTACTTATATGGGGTGTGCGATAGACTTACCTCCACGTGGTGCATCCTGGGCAACGTATATTCATACGGCAAAAAGGTCTATTGACTGGCAGTTGACTTCTCACTTCCAACTACCATGACCCGATTGTATGTCATATTCCAACACTTCCACAGTACTCATCTTACCCTTTTCTCAACCTTTATGTCTGTCTCCTTTACATTTGAAAACTACCCTTATGTTCCCATTTTGATGTTCCCTCCCCCCCCCCTCCTGTGAAGCCGGAAGTCAACTAAAGAGCTAATGATGGTTCTAATAGAGCCTGCCATTTGACGTAAATAAATTACTTTGATAATTCGCAATATCATTAAAGTGATTTGGCTTTTCAAATCACAATATCTTTCTTTCCAGATCGACGTAACTTGGAGGAAGGAATGTTATACCTGAGTTTTGGCCAGAACCACTGTGAACGGTGAGGGCTCAGGTCGGGACTTCATGAATCTCTCATACTGGAAAGCCACAACCGGTCGCGGGTAGATACGAACTGTCCTTGTATGCTCTGTGAAACCTCCCAGAACATTTGGCGAATTGAAAAACAGCACCTGCATGAAGGCAATTTGATGCATTAAGGAGTCCCTCTTTTTTAAGATAATTCAAGAACACTTTTCTTACCATTGCAACTCGAATGGCCAGATTCAGCGACTCCTCATCCATATTAAGAGCTAATTGATCAAATGAGCTCAGCTCAGATGATGTGGATGAGGCCCTTTTCTCCTTTCGCTCTGTTTGCTCTTCACTGGTCTCATTCAACCCCGCAAGGACCTAGAGCAAATGACAATCAACTCCAAAACGATTTGAATAGCAGATATATTAATTAAACAAAGCATGCTGGTCACAAGACAGTAGTACTAATCGCTGTAGAAAACCATACCACATGTAAGATTTAAGAGGTAAATCGATGGTAATTTATGAGAAAAAAAATCAACCGAATTCACTCCGAATCTGAAAGTCTAACATTAGCAATTGAGAGTGAGGGCTAGAACCAATAGCAGAGTCTTACCAAATATTTAAAGTGTGTTAACATTTTCCTTTAATGAATTTGGTTGTATAAATAGAAAGAATGTTTAAATAAGCGGATAATAGGGAGTAGGAGAGGGAGGATGGGTGGGGAGGGGTGGGGTGGGGTGGGAGGAAGGGAGGGAGTGAGAGGAGATGGTTTGAGCTACTTAACAAAACTGACCTCTGATAGTCTGTGGAACTGCATTTATCGAAAGAAAGTTATGTGTAATTAGTTGCAAAGGTAGGCAAGAGGAGGTAAATATGTGAACAACAAATTACCTTGTTGAGTTGGGAAAGCAGTCGCTTCTCTTCCGCTTGAGGCAACTTGGGTATTGGCTCCTGGGCGCCCTGACCGTAGAGCTAAAAAAGAGAAAGGTGAGGAGAAAAACTGTTTACTCCCCGATTGTCCAATCTATACCTGCAGGAAGTAAGTTCAAGGAAGCCTCTAAGACTATCAATTCCTTGGTTGTTCAATTCATTAATACCTAAACACCTCTTTATTAACTGTTTAAATTAGCAGTAAGCATTACGCCTAATGAGAGGGGAATAGGATGAGATGAGGGCTCATTCATTCGTTTATATTGCCCTATCATCTAGATTTTGAAAGCTTTTTCTTCTACCTTAGTATTAGTAAAATAATAAAAGTTTGAAACATCCCCGTTATTCACCGTAGGCACCATTTTACAGTGGTGGTATATTCCTTGTTGCAGAAGCTATACTATTCAACCTGCTCTAAAATTAAGCTTACCTAAGAAAGCCAATCAGAAATGGTTCGATAAGTTGCCAAGAATTATAGTTTTAAATTCAATTTCAAAAGGCATTTTAAACCGAAATTCATTTTAGCTATGAATATGCGTCTTATAACGGCACTTGTAGATTCGTTATTATCCCAAATGCTACTATTTTTTCCAATTTCTGCACTATCTACTCAGACGAAATTCCAATTGTGAGTTACTTAAAGGCAACTCACCTCCTGAGTATCCAAATCAACGAGGAGGACATCTTTGGGAAATTGGAAGGAGCGACGTGAGTCACGAAAGCTTCGTGGTAGGCCGATTATGTATGGAGAGGGTGCTTGGAGAATCTACAGGTTGTGAACAATGCCAATTTTATTCAAACTGGTTGTGGTACAGCTTGGTCAGAGAGTAAATAAACTTCATTAGGATTTGTCAATTCTTCATCAAGCCCTCTGAATGGCCTATGATCACCGAAGCGAGTAGAATGTCATATGGCCATGTTAAAAGAGAAGTATTGAGTTGTATATCGAAGTTTGTGGCGAACACTTTGTGTGAACTATTGATTATTCAATGTGCTGCTGCTATTAGTAATATGTTGTATTGACTACCCTTAAAGGAGAATTCAGTAGTAATTTACCTTTTTCTCGATTTACGCGGGTTCTCTTGTAAAACATGGCCACTCGGCAGCACAGACAGCCAACTTGAAATGATGTTATGTCAATGTGAATAAAAATGCTGCAATTTTTTCACTTATGGAAGAGTATGCAAATAAAAGTAGCAGGGAATGAGTCCAATAAGATGAGCAAGCGGCGAGAGGGAGAGAGGGAGAGTCAAGATGCAGGGAATGAAGTCACTTTAACAAGTGCCCTACACTAATGAAATTCCGGAAGTGTTGGATTGGCCATACTCTTGCACGAAGCATTGTTAATTGCAAGACGACTCTCAGTTTTATTGATTCAATTCTTTTGATCACGTCACCTCAATATGCCAGTGTCTTATTCTAGTGTTTAAAAGTATTGATATCTTTCAAGTGTTTTTTTATGACTCTTTCACAACTGAATTGGCTATCTTAACTGCGACAAAACCGATGCGCAGAACAATAACCCAATGTAGACCTTTCTAATTAAATTATTTAGAAAAATATGCTCGATTTCGCTCTCGACTTTGATTAAAGCCAGGGATTAAGTTTAAATCTCATTTGATCGTCCAAAAAATAAAGCCTTTTCTCAATTTGTAAAGCAGAGCACATGCTTAATGCACCATGAAACAAATATGAGCATTAAACACAGAGTGGAAGCAAAATGAGCGTATTTTGCCTAGGGAATTATCGGTAGCCAAGATAATAGCAATTCAAATGTGTGGGAAAGAGAGAATTAGCGGATCGGATGTTGAGAATGAAAGCAAATAAAAAAAAAAAGTTGTACCTATGCACAAAGCCCCGTTATCAAAATTCCGAGCATTCAAGGTCACCAATAATTGGTAACCTCGAGCATTAATGGCGTAAATTATGAACTCTCCCCCCCCCCTCCCACATTCGCACATTATTTGCATTTTTAACACTGAGGAGTCTTAATTGAGTTAATGTCAGTTAACTACAATGAAAAGGCAAAAAAAACCGGGACAGAAAGAAATTGGGCCTATAATTTTCGATTGTATTTACTATGTGCGAGGCATATGAGAACCTCTTAAAACATGACAATTTCAAATTAAGTATGCAATTTTTGTGAACTATGAAAGTGCACCAATTTCGTTGCTTGGGCATTAAAAGAATTCTAATAAGCACTAGAAAAAAAAATATATCTTGAATTCTGTTTTCGGTTAAAGGCTGTGTCATCTAAGATTCCAAAAGCAGGAAAGTAACCACTTAATGTTGCACGGGTAAATAGGCTCATATCTTCTTCAATTTGCGTGGAACTGGGGTGATTAGGAACCTCACTACTTGGATCCAAATAGAATTAGACAACTTTTTGTGGTTGACACGAAGCGATATCAATGTAATTCAAGCACAATTAACACCAAATACTCCCAGTTCTCAATTTCTAAGTTACTGCAACTCTTAAAAATTGTCAGAATACCTTCCTTAACGTTGCTATTAGGTTTAATGCGAGTGCATCAATAGATATTTTAAAAAACGTAACCATGTATATTCTTCTGGGCTAAGGACAGAAGTTTAGATACAAGATCCCATTAACTATTTGTCCTCATTAACAACGATTAGGAGGTTCAGCTTTATCACGTTGTTTGATTACTATCTCTGAAAGGAGTTTCTAATTGACTAATTTAAAGTTAGAAAAAAATAGAATAGAAAAATCCATGTTCACTTTACCGTCTCAGCTTTAAGGAAGCGAAAGTTGTTAATAATATTAATGAATAATATTTATTCATTCTAATAAATTACTTATAGGGAATATGGGGTGTGAGATAGACTTGTCTCCACGCGGTGCACCCCGGGCAACGTTATCTCATACGGCAAAAAAAGTCCATAAACCGGCAGTCGACTTCTGACTTCAAACTACCATGACCTCACTGTATGTCTTATTCGATCATTTCCACCGTACTTATCCTACCTTTTCTCTGCTTTGTGTCTGTCTATCTCTTTTACACCTTTGAACCACTCTTCTGTCCCCCCTCTCCACTTTTTCACATCTTGATGTTCCTCCCCTCTGTGAAGCCCGAGGTCAGCTAAAGGGCTAATAATAATTATCATAAAGCCTATCATTTGGTATTAAAAATTTGAAACGTGGCGCCCAAATACGATCCCTAAAGATAACAAAGGATAGGTTCATTTTTCAAAAGATTGACAAATGTCTGCATGAGGGAGGCCAATAAAATTACTTCATTGAGACTTACTTCATTTTGGTACCTCAAATAACAGCCTTTATTAATCAACTAATGAAATAAAAATCACAAAGCCATCTTCCCACCTAGTGAACCATTCCAAGCACGTAATTCGCAAACTACAGCAACATCATTTAAGTACTATGAAAAAAAAGCAATTAACAAGAAGTTGAAATAATTTGCTGCAGTGCTTTTCTCATACCTGTTCAGCACCCTTTAGGGAGGAAGGGAGTAGAGGAATGACTGTGAAGAGATATTGCAGAGGATAGCAAAGCGCTGTGAATGCTAGAACACAAGTCGTTAGGCGATCGTGATGAGAAGATTCTAACACAACCTGAAAGACCAACAATAAAAGTCAAGTAACAAATCACATTTTGTTCCAATATAAATAATAAATTTCACGGGAAGCATAGGTTTTAACCTCAACTACTTATTTGGGATTAGATTAAAAAAGTTCTAATCGAATGGCGTGGGATTGAAATGCGGCTAAAAGCTTTGATCATAATTTTATCTGAAAAATTGACAACAAAACTTTTTACGTCTCGGTAAACCAAAATTGTATTTCAGCTGCAAAAAAATCCAATTTAAATATTACCAAATTTAGCAAATTCTGGTTATAGTTCAAAAAATCGTAACTGCGTATAATTTAATCTTCTTGGCATTATAATTGCAATATGGAGAATTCAAGGAAAATTTATTCATAAAATTGAAAGCAAAGGAAGAAAACGCTGGAGGTTTTCATGTGGTAGATTTAGGTACGCCTTTTGGAGCTAGACTACTACCTTCACTAAATCTCTATGCCTATTTTATATTCATTGAGAGATGATAACTAAATTATTATTAAATGATTTAATTTAAACTTTGCCCGTCAATAACTGGCTTAACCGACTTGTTGCTTTAGAGTAAAGTGTACAAAATAAATAGGCCAAAGTGAGAAAAATTCAATTAAGAAATTAAAGTACGTAATTTAATAAACTAAGCACGTGAGTGACTCACCTTTTGTTCAAGCAGTATAGCAAAGAAAACTTTTAGGAACTTTTCAGCTCCCAATAATCGAAGGGGCAAGCAAAGCGAATAATCCACAAGGGAAAATCGATTTCTATCGGGCAGGGCAAATATGATTGGTGGACCGAGTTCAGAGGGTTGTAAAAAAAGCTGAAGGCAAGAAAGTCGAAATATAAGTTTTTAAAAAAATAATCTTCTTATTTTGAATGCACTTCAGAACGTACATGTACAGCAGTTTCTCCTGCTAGAGGAGCTGGAGTACTAAGAAGACGCAAAATCCAAGTATCTATCTCTTCAACACTCTTTCTAACAGTTAAAAGCTCTGGATTCTCAACAGCGCCAGTTAAGACCGACCATACAGTTTGCCTAAGAAAAAAAAAACGTATTTTACTAAAAATAGAAGGTCTGATTACCTCCCAGAAATTCGTGGTTTGCAACCCTCGTGTAATTTTTGAATCAAGGCATAGAGGAACCGCAAACATTTTTCGAATTTCTTAAAAAACTGATAGCGAGACACAAGACAAATCGATGTGAGTGTGTGAGTATATGGACGATCGGGTTTATCAACAGAATGATTTCTCACGAAATCCGAAGAATTTGATGAAGAACTGGAATCCATTTGAGTATCACAACTACGCATACGAAGTGGAGATTTTTGCTCCGATATGTTACTCACAGCATTTCTGAATGATTTTATTCTTCGACGAGTAACCTTTGATGTGTAACTCGATTTTCGCCTTCCAATGGGACGAAGAAAATTAAGGCATATCCCAAATCTCACAATGTTTGATTCTTTATCTGTTAGCATAAATGTGAAAAATTCCATTTTGATATTTTGAGGTAGGCAACCACCCGAATGACGAGGGTCGAGGATGAAGGAACGAGATGATGTGCTGTAACATCCCTCCGGTTGACAAAAATAAACTATATCGTTTGGGAGAGCAAAATCGCTATGATTTAGGGGAGGATAAACTCTTAACAACGCCGGTTGAGATATTGCGCGTCCATTTCGGCATGGATTCTTATTACCGACAAAACAAATGTAATCAATTAGTCTGGGGGAATTCTTGTCCTTTACGCCAGAAGAGGGTGACATTTTAGGGAAATACTGCGATATGAGAATGAAAATTTACACAAAAAGAGACGAGCAGGACGATTTTTTACATCGATTGGTCAGTTTTAGGAATTCAAACTAGGGATTATTTGCTAAGTAACTATAAACACGAAACCAAGGTTGTATAAATAACTTACAATATGTAAATTTAAAATATTTCACTAATCAATATTAGTTTTAAAAGATTTCAAGAAATCACGTGGTAGTGTATCAAAATTTATGTAACCAATTAACATTTTTGATTCATTTTTTTCTATTCTCCTTGTTAATAGATAAAAGGACCAAAATTTTTATTTTATTCTCATTAATTTTAAAGAATAGAGTACATGGTCTTTGTGAACTGGTTTTTGTTTTATTTTTTATTCAAATCTACTTATTGTACCTCAAATATATAAGAATTCTCATTCAAAACTAACATTTTTATGCAATGTATCCTTACCAATTTAATTTGTTCCATCTATCGATCAAAGGAAGTTAATTTGGTAGTACTTTTCTCTTTTAATTCTATTTGGCTTCCTATTAGTATATCTTATATTATTATTTAACTCTCAAAAATAATCGCTTGGCTATTTAATAAAGAAAGTATTGGTTTTGTTTTTGTTTATGGTTTTAGCTTGGGAAATTAACATCACGTTATTTTTTCTAATGGAACCAATGGGAATGTTGCTATTTAACTAGTTAAATTCAGATAATTTGATTGTATCACTAATTGCAAAAATATTTGAGCACCAGATATTTTTATTTTATTTATTGTTTCTTATAATCAGTCTTCCTTTTTCTTAAGTTTGGAGAATGCCTCTTGTAATATGATCTGCCAATAAATTTTAGATTCCTTAAGGAAATGCATTAGTTAAAATATACTTCGAAAAAAGCATACTGAAAATAACCCGAACCACCGGAGTAAGATGGTGTATTTTTTCGTACTAAGGGGTAAATTTTCATTTCCTTCATTTGCATTGCTAATATAAACAGTTTCTTTCGAATAAGGCAGACTTATAAGAAGCAGGATTTCGAAGGCGGAAAATGTTCTTACCTATAAAAATTATTTCGTGAAAACTATTATTCCCTCTTATGGAACACTAAAGGTTTTGTAAACGAACTCTTATGTCACTTGCTTAATGAGAATGGATATACTTTTGTTCTTTATGTTGCTGTTACTCAGATCTCCATTTCTTGTGTCTAAACGGACCTATCAATTCTCTTTTTTATTTCTTGTTTCATTTCGTTTAAAATTGCAGTTGCACTGCTGCCTTCTCGTAAGCCCATGGCAAGTAGCTCATTGAACTGTCTTTGTATGTCCACTTACCAACACAAATGCAGACGCCCTCACATTTGGCTCAATTTTGCTTGCATTCTCATTGTCTTATTTAATATGCTTTGAATAACACGCTGGCATCGATATCTTATATAATTTTTGTTTAAAGCATTTGCTATATTCTGTAAGACTCAGTTGTTAAATTGACATCTCATTGCAGATCAAGGCGGAAAACATAAATGGAACAAATAATGCAGAATGATATCATCAACTCTCAAGGAAGGTTAACTTGAAACCTTGAGATTTACTAAGAAATGCCATTAGTCACAGATCCAAACCACCTAGATCCCCGTATAGTATTGACCTGTAGATTTAATTTTTTCCACTCTGATTCAATCATTTAAACGAATTCGGTTGAACAATGAGGGGGGGGGGATAAGAAGGCGGAATATGGGGTGTATGTTATTTTCTTGTATGTAGCACAGACATTCCGAAAATATTAAGTTGCATAGAACAAAGACGTGGCACGTTAAGTCTTTAAATTTCGCATACTCGGTGATACTCACGTGGGTTCATTCAAAAAAAGATTCAAATTTGCCAAATTTAATTTTCTTCACTACTTTGAGATCGATCAGTGATGACTGTATGAACTTTCAAGAATGAAAAAATTGAATTAAGTTTTCCGCAAGAAAAGCTTCAAATAGCCATTGCTTTCTTAAAAGCATAATGACTTGCTAGTTGTCTTGGTTAGAGTCCAAATTTTGCGTTGTTATCAAAGGTATTATTACCGAATCTCCCAATTTGATTTTTGAAATTTCTGACTCCAGATGCAAGTTGTGAAACTCGACTATTCCCATAGTAAAAGCTATAAGATGAAAGAGTAAAATGGAAAGTGGAAATGCTTTGGAAAATTTTTCATATTAACTAATAATTATGTACATCTGAAATTGCTAGTGCTACTTATTTAAGACTTTCCTGGTTCAATTTTAAGCCTGCAAGTCAACAAAGTGTATTTCCTAACTTAGAAGTTGCAATTCGGCCAACTAAAAGGGGTTTTATTTTGACAAATTTTTGTATCCGCATCATCCATATTTAAGAAGAAGAAGAAAGTGAATTCGACACATCGAATGCATGTATTCATAAATTAGCATTACTTATTAAACACAAATTTTGCCCAATTGGAAATTCAAAATGTGCGCTTATTTATAAAACACTGACTTATCGTGAAACCATGAAGTTAAATGCCATTGCTTAAACACTGTTAAAATTTGCTAAACTTTCCTTAAACTACTTGCTTTGTACTATAATTCATTGATATTTTACCTTATTTATAGAAATGAAATTTCATTCCAATTGCCATTATTCACAAATCAAACCTTCAAAGGAGCTTTTATTAACGATTTTAGGCCTACCACAACAATACTTTTATGCACCTGCAGTTGTAAAAAGAGTGAAAAACAGCCCTCCTTGCCAAACTTCGCAAAGCAACCTAGCAACTGGATGAGAGTGCGCGCGGAGAGAAATGAAGCGTAGAAAATAGTCAGTACGTGTGCAATCTGTTTAGTCTAAGACAGTGTAAATTAGGGACGTCTTAAGAGAAAGGGAAACGAGGTAGAAGGGGTCGGACGAGTGGAGGGGGGAGTGGGGAATAATTGGAAGGAGGGTACGTGGGAGCATTTGGGAAAGGGGAATGGGAAGGAGAGCCCTAGCAACTATCTGCCTAACCCCCCCCCCCCCCCCCTCCAACATCTTCAGGGCACTGCAGGTGTTCCTGCAGTAGCCACGTGTCCTTTTTTGCGCAAAATGAGGGAAGGCTTTGTAATGTCAGCTTGACATTTACTAAGGCGAAGGAGATGTGCTGAATTATGCACCCCAATTAGGCTGATGAATACAAAATCGATTCTTTCGAGGGCAAGTGTGTGGTGGGTTATTAGGTAGTTGCTAATGCTTTCAAATTAACTTTATGCAAAATGCCAAGGCTTTTCCAGGATAGCTTTAAGTATTTTTCTAGATGGATTTAGTTGCCCATTTATTGATTGATTGGATTCTGCTGATTGACGGGAAAGTATCTTTATTTTGACGTGATTTGGACGAGCAAACAGTTTCTAAGAGTTATTAAATAAGTTCATCCTTTTCTTTTTAATTTTTTACCGGGTTTCGGAATCAAGAATAATAATAACTGCACTACACACGCAATTTACCAATATACTAATCCTTTATTTGCAAAGTTCTTGAACAGTGTACTATTGGTGCAAGCAAATAAATTGTGCGTTTGACTAGATTAGGCAGATATGATCAGATATATAGATTTGGGGATTTTTTAAGCACTTTCCAAGCTGCGTTGGGAGAACTTTCTTCACTGCAGATCTGGCGAATTTAGATTTGATTGCCTTCTCTAATATGGCATCCCGGAGGATTCTACAACTGCTTGAGTGAAGGTGAGCTAGGCAAAACTTCGCAGCAGCTCAATGGTGAAGTTGCTGTTTTGTCATACACTAACCTCTTAATTCTTATCGGCAGCTAATGGCATAAAAGCAAACCTTCTAGAAGAATTAGCTGAATGTTTCATACAATTTATTTGGCAAACAATTCAGATGGATCGACAGTGAAATTTGCTTTAATAATCATCTGAACCCCAAAATAATATCTTCTCAAGTGATTTAAATTCTACAGTAAAACGTTATTTTATTTATTTATATCAAATGGCAGGCGTCTTGATGGTTATCATTAGCTCTTTGGTTGACTTCAGGCTTCACAGAGGGGAAGGAACATCAAAGTGGAAAAAAAGTCAAGAGGGGGGGGGGGAACAGAAGAGTGTTTCAAAGATTAAGGTAGAAACGGTAGAAAAAGATGAGATGAGTACTGTGAAAGGGGTCGAATATGACATACCGTGGGGTTGTTGATAGAGGTTTTTGCCGTAGGAGTAAACGTTGCCGAGGGTGCACCACGTGGAGGTAAGTCTATCG